ATACAACCTTCAGGACCAACCTTCAGGATAGCTCAGCTCACTAAGCACCTGCTTTGGCAAGTGCAAAGACCAGGGTTCAATCCTAGGTCCCTCATGCTGTTCTGGCCCCACCCCTGAGCACAGTGAATGATTCCAGGTGTGGTGGTGCACACCTGTAATCCCAGCACTGGGGAGGCTGAAAACAGGAGGATCACTATGAGTCCGACCTGTACCAATTACATAAAAGATGAAAAAAAAAAATACAACCTTCAATTCCAGTTCCGCATTGACCTGCCTCCTCCAACCAGGTCCCATTTCTGAACATGTTAGACTGTAAGAGAACATTTTAGGTTTCTTTGTTTGTTTCTTTGTTTCTTTGGTTTTTGTGCAGGGTCTCACTACACAGCCCAGACTTGTAGTGATCCTCCTGATTTCTGCCTCCCTAGTGCTGGGATTACAGACATGCACCACCATGCCCAGACTCCATTGCTGGCTCAGCACACCCATGGGTGGGGCTGGCACAGCATGCAGAGCCAGGGATTGAACCCTGGCTCCTACACTTACCTAAGCAAGTGCTTAGTCCACTAAGCCAGCCCTTAAGAGAATATTTTAGATCTAACCCATAACAATGGGTGATCAATTCCCAACAGATCTGAACACAGTAAAATTCTTTTTACACTGAAACTATATTGAACATAATTTTGCTGAAATTCAAAAGGCACCTAAGTGCACAAAATGACTGACAAGTGCAAACTCTGGACTGCTTTGCCCTAGCAATCCCACTTTCAGTCATTTATTCTGCAAATGTATTTTCTTATATGTGAGAAAACATTCTTGTTTACTTGATATTGACAAAATTTCTCTTAAAAAGCAACTGTGGGGTTCTCTCGGTAGTCGGCCTTCGCCTCTGAAGCTATCCGCCCTAGTCTCTGAGCTTGCAACTCGTGGACAGGCATCGTTGGCGTGAAGAGGCTGGACTCGGGGGTCATCGCCAAGCCATCATCTGCGAAGTTTGAGGTACTTTTACAAGTTTGCTACACAGGCTGTGCATTTGCAGTGTATTTGTAAGCAATGGCTGCCATCCGAAAGAAACTGGTGATTGTTGGTGATGGAGCTTGTGGTAAGACATGCTTACTCATAGTCTTCAGCAAGGACCAGTTCCCAGAAGTATATGTTCCCACAGT